GGGGTCGGCGCTCTGACGGCCCCCACCCGGGGAGAGCGGCAGACGCTACCAGACGCGCCCGCCGGCACGGGCGACGGCCGGGTGCTCCGCGCCCCAGCGGCCTCCCCTTCTGAGCCCTGGCTGTAGCGGGCTAGCCTGGGACAAAGTTCATTTAAGCGACGGGTGAGGTGTCCCGACACCCGCGCAGGCCTGGCTTCCTCTCTGTGCGCCCTGCCCTGCACCTTCCTGGCCCGGAGCGACCGTCGCCCGCTGGCGCTTGGTGGGGTGGGGGGACGCTGAGATCCAGAGGGTCACGTGAGCCCCCGTGCATCCTCTCAATTCGACTCTGCCACAGATCTGAGCCCCTTTGAGTGTGAACTGAGGCAAGCTGAGGTAGTAACTTGGCTTCCCCAGCTTGCTGGGTGCCGGTCGTCTACAGCCAGGGACGTCTGTTGTGCTCTTGCTAAGACGCAGAGCGCGCTTTCCTCCCGGCCTGCGGGTGCCTTAGAGCTGAGACAGAGAGGAATGAGGTGGGAAGGTGGCGCTGGCTATGGACAGAATCCATGTTTTGTCCAGGCCTCTGTTTCCTTCTCCTGACTGGCCAGACTGAACCCAGCAAGTGACTTCACCTCTCTGATCCCTGGAGCCTTTCTATGAAATAAGGATGATGCTAGTCCCTGCCCACAGAGGAGTGGTGAGGATTCAGTCAGTTCATATAGGGTGCTCAGCAGAACTCGCTACATAGCCTGTAGGGCTTGTAAGTATCTCAAAATAGGAACAGCGAGCATTAATCCCGACGTGAGGCACACCACGGAACCGTCCCTGTGCTGGGGACAGTGTGCTCCGCCTCTGCGGCTCTTTGTTATGGTGAGGTGTGTTGAGGCTGCACTGGTGCCAGGGTGCGAGGGTTAGAACAGGATGTACCAATCGGAAGCTGATGGGGGACATCCAGCCCCCCCCCTCTGTCCTTGTCCCGGGCCTGGCTGAAGGACCACTTGCTGGGAAGGCAGCCTCTGGCCTCTCCTGGGAGGCCGGAACTACTGAGCAATGAGGCACTGAGTATGCAGCCTGGTTCCTTGGGACCCACCTGGGTCTCAGCCACTGGGGCTGCAGGGAAGGGAGGGGCTGGGCTGCACCTGGCCCTGGATGCTGTTCCCTGGAAGGAGTTCCGGACCCCTGAGGCCCAGGGGAGGGAAACCCAGGAGCTGAAAGAGCTGACACAGGTAGCAATGCCCATCACACAGTGAGGGCTTCTGGGGATTGGATCACTGCTGTGCTCCTGAAACAGCAGAGTCAGGGCTGCCTGGCCATGCCTAGGATAGCAGGGGTGCGTGTGTGCGTGTGTGTGTGCATCTGTGTGTCAGAGAGACTGGGAACTGTCTGGGCCGTGACACCACCTCCTAAAAGAATGGAGGTGGGGATTTGCACGTGGAGCAAGGCCACGGTCTAACTCAGCAGCCCCCAAAGACACTGCCCCTGCTGAGTCCCTGGTTCCCAGAGGGAAAGCAGGCAGTAACACGCCGAGATCACACAGCTGCTAAGCGTATGAGTTGGGGTTTGAACACAAGTCATGTGGACTCCGGTCTGTACTCATTACAGCCACACCGAGTGCCAGACAAGATGCTGGACGTGGTGGTGTCTCGTGAACAGAGGGTGGTCACAGGTGAACGTCACCGTCCTGCGTGTGTGGCCCTGTGCATGCTGATGGGAGCGGCAGACCGGAGTCTGAATCCCAGCGCTGTTGCTGTGACCTTACCTGAGTCCTTTGCCCTCTCTGTTTACCCAGCAGTGACTGATGGTGCTTCTACAGTGTGCCAGGCCCTGTGCTAAGCACTGGGGACACTGAACAAAGCAGACCAAAAGTCCTGCCTGCCCAGAATGTCCATTCTAGTTGGCATGTGTGGCTGGGAGCCTGGGCTGTGGTCAGAGCTCTTGGTATCCGCCCACATCACCCAGCCCTGTGCCCAGTAGCCAGGGTTCAGTTGCCTGAGGGCTTTCACTGGCTGTAGCCTGCTACTCCGCAGGCAGCCTACAGTGCTGGAGGGCATGCCCTCTCCCGCCCAGCAGCCTCCCACCAGTGACTGGCAGAGTTGGCGTGTAAGTACCTGGCTGCCTCCCCTCTGGCGGGATAACAGGCGTAGCGCCATAGCAGCTCCCAGAGGCACACTGTGGAAGTGAGCCTCAGCAGCCCACCATGGCCGCAAGCGTGATGGACACTCTTGATGGACAAGCTTGATGGGCACTGCTAGTGCCTGTTGGCGTCGCCTGGAGTCACCCTCCGAGGGAACCCCTGCTCTGGAGTCCTGGCCTCAGGGAGCCCCCCTGAGACAGGATGTTCCCCTGTCCCTTTGCAGTCCCAGGAGGTCCCTGATGGCTGCTGCGCAGAGCAGGAGGCTCTAGGGGCAGCTCCAGTGCTGGAGTGCAGCATGGGCTGCTGGGGCCTGCGGCCGGGACTCCTCTGGTCTTTGTGCATGCTGTGCTCCGACTGGGCTGCAGTCTGCGGAGAGGGAGGGAGGGCTGGAAAGGAACGTTCTGGGCGCCTATGGGACTGCAGGCCTCGGGCTCCACTCTTCTCCACCGTTGTTCCCACTTCACAGGTAAAGGAGCTCGCAAAGTGCGTGTCCCCTGCCAGGGCCCACAGGCTGCGCTCAGGCAGCTGGCCGCAGCAGGGGGTCTTAGGACAGCTTGTTGTTGTGGGGCTGTCCTGTGCAGTATAACACAGGGCAGTGTCCCCAGCCTCTGCTCTCTAGGTGCTAGTAGAACCCCCTCCTGTGGTGACAACCACAGATGTCCCCAGCTGAGAGCCATCACGTCACCTCTGCACCACCTTTCTGTGGCGAGGGAGCAAGACCAGCCTGGGTGGCCTCCTGTCCCTGGCCCCGCCGCCTGGAGCCTGCCTGTTTCCAGCCGAGGGGCTGCTGAGCAAGTGGCACAGGCGCAGTTAGGGCTCTGGTGCAATTGGGGTGGGAGCTTCTGGGACAGAGCACTGGGGGCGGGTGAGTGCAGGGATCCAGTGCTCCCTTACTCCTCTCTCCACCGTCTGCTGTCCCACCTAGGCTGTCTGGACCAGAGCACTGTGACTCAGCGAGACCCCAGGCTGGGTCAGGATGAGGTAGAAGAACCCATAGCTGCTCTGAGACCCGAGTGAAGTGCAGGAGCCTCGGATCCAGGCATCTGGGACCATAGAAAAGGAGATGAAGGGAAAAGAAACAAGATTCTGAATATCTGTTTCCAACGTTGCAAGAAAACAGTCAGTGGGAGTGAGAGAGTAGACTGACTAAGCGCCTGGTTTGTGAAAGGGACTCAGCCCTCTCACCTTAGCCCTACAGCGTGCAGGGTGAGAGTGTGGGGCCTGGGCTAGAAGGCCTAATTCAAATCCTGGCTTTACCACTAACGGTCTGCAACTTCAGCCACGTTGCCGACCCTCTCTGTGCCTTAATTGCCAATTGTCTGTGAAATGGGGAGGACTGCTAGTGAAGCGCTGTGCAAGTGCTTGAGAAATAAAATTCTGATATTCCTCCCAAGTAGGAATTATCATCGTTATTTTGCAGATGAGGAAATCATCAAGTTGGGAGTTAGTAAAAAGTTGAGCTGGCATTTGGACCCAAGCTTATGTGAGAGTGTTTGTTTTTTGTTTGGGGGCTTTTTGTTGTTGTTGTTGTTGTTGTTGTTTTGTCTTTTTGAGAGAGGGTCTTGCTATGCAGTTCAGGCTGGCCTTGAGCTCGTTTTGTAGCCCAGGCTGGTATCAAACTTGCAGCAATCCTCCTGCCCCAGGCTCCCAAGTGCTGAGATTAATATGCATGCACTGCAACACCCAGCTGTGAGTGTTCCTAACTGTGCCGTCCCTCTGTAGGGGTGAGGACAGGAGTGGGTCACAGCTAAGGCGTGAGTAAGGCAGGATCCTCTGACTCACAGCCCCCCAGATCCATGAAGGTACCCTGTCATGGAGATCTGGAGGTAAGTGGTGGCTGCTGACTCCCCAGTACCTCCTTGTCTGCACTGGGGAACCCTGGGGCAGGCCTTTCTCTTACTCTCCAAGCTGAACCAAGGACAGTCCTGGTGGGCTGTGTGGCCGGCAGCTGGCAGAGGGGATGAACTCACCATACCAGTGCCTGGAGGAAGGAGATGCCCGAAATACAGCTCCTGTGCTGATGGCTCTGTCAGGGCAGGTGACTTTCCAGGAGGCAGGACCAACCACACCACGTCTCTGGGGGACCTCCTGCTCTGGCGTGGGGTACACAGCAGGGAAAGGGGGCGGGCCAGAGATATCCGAGCAGGTAGCATGCAAACAGCTCACTGGACCCGCTGTCTTGAACAACTCCTTCCTTCTGGGTTCTTCGTGGGCAGCTCAGGGAAGCTGCGCTGTGCTGATCCTGCCTCACGTGGGTGTCAGTAGACCCTGTTTGTGCACACAGCCCTCGGGCTGCCCAGCTACACCTCACCTCTCTGTGGGGGGCGTTAAAGCAGGTAGCGTTTAGATTCAGGTTCAGCGTCCGCCTCCTGGCAGACTTAAGTCACAGGGTGGGAGTGTGGCATGGTCAGACCCGAGGGCTCCTGAGTCCTTCTGACAAGCCTCAGGAGGAGGTCACCAGCCTTCCCTCTCTCCCCAGACCCCAGCCTCCCTCCCTGGGGAAGAGGCGGCATCTCTGTTGTTCCCTGAAACCCACCTGCAAACCTCGATGTCCAGGCGCCAGACTCTTCCGGAGCCAGCAGCCATAGCTGCAGGCAAGGCCACCCCTCCCGGGACCCTGGAGGACGCGCCCTTGCTGCTGGAGCTGCAGAAGCTGCCGGTATTGGCTAATACAGACTTGAGCGCCCCAAACCCCAACATGCAGGTGAGACTTTAGGCCACAGGCCACCTGGAGAGGAGCTGGGCTGGGGCCAGCCCCATGCTGTGTCCCCTCCCCGGGCGGCGGAAGGCCTGTGTGTAGCACAGAGGCTCGTCCCTGCCTGTGGTGTGGTGTGCGGGAGGGCACCTGCCCCTCAACTCTCAGCTCTCCCAGCCTTGTAAGGGGCAGACGGCAGCAACGAGGCAGGGCTGGCAGGAGGACTGAATAAGGGGGAAATGCGCATTTTGTCACCTGTGGGTAGCTCCAGGAATACAGGAGAGGTTTCTTTGAGAAAAGCGAAACGTCTGGTCTCCCCCTGCCACCCAGTCCCATCCCCTTGCTGCAGGCCCCTAAAGAAGGGCTTCAGTGCAGAACAGGGTGGGCTGGCACATGGGGATCCCCGGTCCCAAATGGGAAGCCAGAGCGGTAGCACAGTCCCGCTGCACATCCCTCGCCTGTGCTGGAGCTCTGAGGCTGGTGATTCTGCCTGTCTGTGCCGCAGCTGCAGTTTGGAGAGTACTTTAAGGGAGAGAGCCAGGTGTGTAGCTTGCGCCTTTCATCCCAGCACTGGGAGGCTGAGCCAGGAGGAGGCTGAGCCAGGAGGACCGCTGTGAGTTTGAGGCCAGCCTGGCCTACACTTTCGCCAAAAAAAAAAGGGGAGAGAGAGAGAGGGAGAAAAAGCCACAAAAGTGTAGAGCGTAACATTCTAAAAGTGTTTTAAACCAGGCGTGGTGGCCCATGCCTACCAGCACTGTAGAAGGCTCAGTCAGGAAGATGGTAATTTCAAGCCCAATTTGGGTAACGTAGTGACTTGGCAAGACCCTGTTTCAAAATAAAAAGCAAAAACGGGCTGAGTATATATAGCTCAGTGTGAAGCCTTTGGGTTCGATCTCCAGCACTACCCCCAAAATAACTGTTTTAAAGTGCATCTAAGGAAAAGTATATTTCTCTCTGTCTCCCCTCCCTCTGTACATATATGACTTATATGTACACACATACCTATAAACATACAAAAAACTAGATTATCTGTCAGTAATGGAATATAGATGATTTTCATTTCCTTCTTTTTTTGATATTTGAGTGTGTTGTGGGGAAAATGGTTTGCTTTTTCCTCTGATACCCACACATACATGTATTACACAACTAGCATTGCAGACTGATAGAGAAAGGGGACTTTGCAACACCTTTTTTTTGAGACAAGGTCTCACTTATGGAGCCCAGGCCGACCTCAAACTTGCAGCAGTCCTCCTGCTTCAGCCTCCTGAGTGCTAGAATTACAGGTGTGCACCACCACCCCTGCTTGCAACACATTTTTCTGAAACAATTGTTTGCCTGTCTGGAAGATTAAATTTGACTTACTCTATATACAACATTAAATTCATTTTTTAAAATGTTTAAATAATTTTTGTGGGATCTAGGAGTTCTGGGACAGTTCTTTGAGCCAGCCTAAAGCTAAGGGGTGTAGGAAGGAGGCTGGTGGTGAGCAAATCCTCAGTTTTAGCTTCGGAAACCTGTTAGTCCTGGCGGCACTTGTGAAGCGTGGAGGAGCTGAACTCGCCACCTGGGGCTTTGCCGCCTTCAAGAGCCGGGGACCAGTCAAGTCGTGGGAAGTTCAGATCTTAACGCCCATGTTTTCACACCGCTGTTCTAAAAGTCTTCGGGCTTTGGAAGGGGAACTGGCAGCCTTTCACAGTGGTGCAGCGCTTGCCACACCGGCCGGCTTTCCTACAACATGGCCTCTAACAAAACCAGGCTGTCCGAACCCGGGATGTAGAATTGTGTACCTCTATACCGAGAAGGTTGGGAAGGCCCCAAATCTGCACGCGGTGTGCTCCCGGGCAGACTTCGAGGTGTTCGTGCGGCCTAAAGTTCTCATGAGATTATCTGAAACGAAGAAGCGCCAGCAGGGCTCAGGCCGTGTGTGCCGAGTGTGGCCGGACAGGATAGAGCGTGCTTTCCTTATGCAAGAGCAGAAAATCGTGGTGAAAGTGCTGACGGCCAAGTAAAACAGAAGCTCTTGGAGAAATAAAAGATGGAAAGGCTTAAAAAATTTTTTGTTTGTCTTTTTAAAAAAAAAAAAAATTTTTTTTTTTGTCTTTTTGAGACAGGGTCTCACTATGCAGTTCAGGCTGGCCTTGAACTCACTTTGTAGCCCAGGCTGGTATCAAACTTGCAGCAATCCTCCTGCCCCAGGCTCCCAGGTGCTGAGATTAATATGCATGCACTGCAACACCCAGCTCTACAAAATTAAATTCAGATGGATTAAATATATGTAAAAGCAAACATAAACATATACATAGTTTTAAGGGAAATACTCATTTTCTTCTTTATGTTTTGCTGTTTTCCCCCAAATTTTGATTAGTGACCTCCTATTACTTGACAGTAGCCAAAATTAATGTTTTAAAGTTAAATGATTTTATTTTATTTATTCCCCCTGCTTAATTTGGGTAGAGAGCCCTTCCCAAGTGCTGCTTGAAGATTTGGTATTTACTGTCGTTTTCCAGCCCTGCCCTGAAGAAATGGAAGAACTGTGTGTGCAGAACCAGAATTCAAAGCCAGCTCCTCCAGGCATGGTGGCACATGCCTAGAAACCCAGCACTCTGGGAGGCAAAGGCAGGATTTCTAGCCCAACCTGGGCAACTTAGCAACTTAGACCCTGTCTCAAAATAAAAAGGTCTAGGGCTGCAGCTTAATGGGAAGACCCTGGGTTCAATTTTCAGCCCTGGGTGTGGGGGGGGAAAGAATTCAAAGGCAGCTTCTTTTAAACTAGGAGCTCTCAACTGTGGCCCAAACTGAAACCGCCATGCCTGTCCTCTCCCAGACTCAGTACATCCGCATGAGCGGCTGGGTGCAGGAATCTCCCGTGTGCCCCACGTGCCCTGAGTGGCTGCGGTCTGGGACAGACAGCTGCCTGGAGGCAAGGTTGGGCCTCTGGCTGCACTGCAGCCCATCACCTGCCCTCTCCTCGGAGTCCTGCTCTGAGGCTTCCCTGCTTGGTGTCTGTCTCCCTGCAGGTGACCATCGAGGTAGTGGAGGACCCCCAGGCTGAGGTGGAGATGGACCTGCTGGCCGAGCCCGGCAATCGCTGGCCCCAGGGCGCTCCTAGGTGGCTGCCCACCAAAGAGTTCTTCTGGCCCCTCTTCTGGGGCTACCTGGAGGGTGAAGAGGGGGCCACTGGCCTCAAAGGTGGAGCCCTAGAGGACAAAGGGGAGAAGCAGCACATTGTGGAACATGGGGAGCCCGAGGACCAGGAGGGCAGTGAGGACAAGCAGGAGGAGGAGGAGCCGTGGTCCAGTGGGGCCACAGACGGCTGGGCCTGGGGCTGGCTGGACCCTGGGGACTGGGCCTTCGAGGAGCCAGACAGCTATGGTGAGCACACCCCCCACCCCGCGCCCCCATCCCTGCTGCTGCCCTCGGTCCTGAGCGGAAATGATGGTGACCAGAGCGCTGAGCTGGGGAGACCAGGAGCTTGCAGACTCTGTTATGGACTCCAAAGCGACATGACAGCAGCTCGAAAAAACTGGGGTTTTTGTTTGTTTGTTTTCCCAACAACATTTGACCCTCACAACAGCCTTGAGACCCCCTAAACAAAAGACATCTGTTCATATTATATATTTATGTCTATTGGTTTCCAGCAAACTGATGAATATTATTAATCTTACCACTTATTTTCAGGGTGGATTTTAGTCCTGGGTCTACCCTGAACCAGCTGAGTGACCTTGGGCAGTTACTTCCCCTGTCTGTGCCTCGGTTCCTTTCATAAGATGTGGACGGCACAGCCTTCAACAGATAGGCTGGTTGGGAGGAGCACTGAGTTAATAGATGTAAAACGCCAGCAAAGCGTTAGGTTTTTTAGTTTTTTTGTTTGTTTGTTTGATTGTTTTAGAAAAAGACACAACAGCACAGATCATTCAGAAAATATCCCCCAGGGCTGGTCGGCCTCCCGTGAGGATGAGTTTTGCTTTCTGTGATGGGTCTGGTTTGCCCAAGGTGCAGACATGCTTCATGCACCATTGCAGCCATTTCTCCCAAACTTTGGGTTTTGTCTTTGAACCAAGGTGCCTGTGATGAAGATCGAGTTGTGACAAGTTCTTCCTGGTTTTCCAAAAGAATGTAATCTGAAAGAATGTCACAACATTCAGCTTTTCTCCTATTCACTTTTCTAAGCCTGGTGCCTGTCTGCTGCGGCCTCCTGGAAGCTGGGAGCGAGCCAGGACACCAGCCCTTTGGGGTCTGCAGACAGCCCCAGGATTTGAGCCCTGCTCAGGCTGAGGGCCGCAGGCCCAGGCACAGTGTATTTGAGTCTCGTCACATCAGGACTAGGTCCCTCAAGAAGGGCAGCAGGGACACCCTTTCATAACCCCAGTGCCAGGGTAATATTAGCAACCCAGGTTTTGACTGACATAAAAACTACAGCTCAAGCCAGGTGCAGTGGTACATGCCTATAATCCTAGCTATATATTTGGGAGGCTGAGGCAGGAGGATCTCCAGTTCCAAGCCAATCTGAGCAATTTAGACCCTGCCTTAAAAATGAAAAAGGGCTGGGGATGTAGCTCAGTGGTAGAGTGCCCCTGGGTTTCATCCCCAATAGGACAAAACAAAGAAGCAACTGTAGCTCAGAGATGTAGGGGGCCGTGTCTGAGGTCACACAGATAGAGGTCAGGTGGCCTTTCTTATTCTGTGTTGGACCAGAATGAGTGGCTGGGGTTTGTGCCATCTCTGGAGGGACCCTTGACACATTGGCACAGGTTGTTCACTGCACAAGGGTACCTAGTTCAAGGAACAGGTGGGGGCTGAGCTCCTGCCCATGCATTGTACACTAGGCACGAGCCCTAGCAACACGGGCTGCAGCCAGCTAAGGAAGGGGCACTTTTTACTAATCTGCACCAGGGGGCCCTGTGGGCTGTATGCACTCACATTCAGCTTCCTGCCTTGACCCAGACTATGAGCCACAGGAGGAGTGGAGCCCCTGGTCTCCCTGCAGTGGGAGGTGCAGCAGTGGCAGCCAGCAGAGGACTCGGCCCTGTGGCTATGCCTGCACTGCCACCGAGTCCCGAGTGTGCAGCCTGCCCCCGTGTCCTGGTGAGATGAGCCCCAGCCCCTGCATCAGAGTGCTTGGTATGGCTTAGACTCTGGCTTTCAGCCCTGGAAATGTGGGTGTCGGCCCTTATAAGAGGGGCGGGCTTGGGGAAGGGGCTGCCGGAAGCTCACAGATATGGTGGTCCTGCAACCCAGGCCTGTCCCGGCAACTCTGGACCACAGTGCAGGAAGGGCCGGGCTTCCCCACTGGGAGCACAGAGGTGCCCTGGGGTGCCACAGCCCGGCCTCCTCTCTTCCCAAAGGTGCTGAGCACGAGGACACCTTGGGCTTCCCCAGCGAGGGGTGGCAGCCCCTGGCCTACAATGCTACGGACATGCTTGGCGCAGGTCAGTGAGGGCCAGGGAGTCGGGGGAGAACTCTTCTCAGGTGGGTGAGGTTCCAATGGCAGGAACTAGGCCTCCATCTACCTGGCATTGCTGTGCCAGGCCCACTGGCATGTCCCAGCCCGTGCTCCTCCAGAGAAGGCCATTGCGATGGCAGCTAGAGCTTGGGAATCCTCAGGGGTGTTTGTCTTCCCTGGCAGCACGGTGGGGAAGGGACATTCTGACCTCCTCCTGGTCACTTTTTGGAGGCTTCTGTGCAGGATGTCTGGGTAAGGGGATGTGGAGCTGTCAAAACGGGTTAGGTGGCAGATTCCAAGAATGCCCTTCCAGGCGGCTGGGAGTCTGTGTCTCTTGGTCTCACCGTACCTCCCAAGGCAGGTAGGCAGTGGCTGGTGGGGGGCACACATGACCACCAGGGGCACAGCATTGCAAAACAGGCTCCGAAGATCTGGGAGCAAAGAGAACGGGGCGATTTACTCTGTGGCCAGAATCAGAGGCCACATTTTCCAGGAAGAGAGAGAGGAGGAGGGCAGTATAGACAGAGGGAGCCCCAGGAGCCCGGGGTATGAGCCAAGGTCAGGTGATGGCCTAAGACCGTGGCACACACCTCTGCTCGCAGCTACTCAAGGGCTGAGGCAGGATTGAAGGTTTGCAGCCAGCCTGGGCCACTTAGCAAGACCCTGCCTAGAAACAAAAACAAGAAAGCAGAACAACAAACCAAGCATGGCTTACTGGTTAATATATTGAAAAACACTTTCTTAACTGTTGGTTAAAAACTGCTGTCCCTGACCCCACCTACCCCAGTTCCTTTCCCAAATCGCAGTCTTTCCCACTGTCCAGCACCTGCCCAGCAGAGGGCCCCCGGGCTCTTGCTCCAGGCCCTGGCCAGTGTCTATTTTCAGTGACAGCGTCTTGTGTGGCAGGTGTGGGGTGGCCCTTAAACGTCCCTAGACCTGGTTTGGGTCCTTCCAGTCCTGACCTTAAGGCCCAAAGCCACGCCTTTGTCTCAGCCAGGATCTGGGCCTCCTCTCCTCGTTACTGACCCCGAGCATCCTCATGCCACCCAAGGCCTGCCGCTCTGACCGGCTGCCCTGCCGGACCTCCTTGCCCTCTGCAGATGTGGACAGCTGTGAGAAGTGGCTGAACTGCAAGAGCGACTTCCTAGCCAAGTATCTGAGCCAGGTGCTGCAGGACCTGCCCAGCTGCCCCTGTGCCTACCCGCTAGAGGCGGTGTCCAGGGCCGTGAGCCTGCAGGACGAGCTCCAGGGCCGCAGCTTCCGGTGGAGGGACGCCAGCGGCCCACACGAGCGCCTGGACGTGTACCAGCCCACAGCACGCTTCTGCCTGCGCTCGCTGCTGTCGGGCGAGAGCAGCACCCTGGCTGCCCAGCACTGCTGCTACGATGAGGGCAGCCGGCTGCTGACCCGAGGCAAGGGTGCCGGTGCGCCTGACTTGGTCAGCACTGACTTCTCCCCAGAGCTGCACTTCAAAGTGGACACGCTGCCCTGGATCCTGTGCAAAGGGGACTGGAGCCGCTACCATGCGGTGCGGCCGCCCAACAATGGCCGGGCCTGCGTGGACAACCCCCCTGAGGAGGAGTACTTGGCACAGTTGCGGGAGGCCAGGGAGTATTAAGGAAGGCTGCTGAGTTGGAGAACCACACTTCTAAGCCCTTCTCCCCACCCTTGCCCAAACTCAACCATGGGAGGTTGTCTGGTGCTGCATGGCCCCTGCCTGTGACCTCCGGGCAGCTCAGGGCCCCGGGCATTCCCCAGGTGTGTTGCTGGGGAGAGAGCGTTGATGGGTGTACAGGGCCCAGGTCTAGGGGTGCGTTGGAAATGTGTGTACACTCATGTTTCTCGGGGTCTCCTCTCTTGCTGCCCAGCAAAGCTGCCACAGCCTGGGCTCTTTTGCCCTGGCTCTACACACAGAGGTGGCCAGGGCGGTCGAGGCACATCCTGATCACCAGGATCTGCTTCGACTCTCTGACACCCATCCTGGCTGAGCAGGGCAATGAGGGGAACAATGAGAAGAGTCACTCCTTTCATCTGGCCCTACAGCTGCCCCTTGCCAAGTGACATCAGCCCTGCGTGACCATGCTTCCTTGACTGGGGAGGGCACATGCTCCCCTCATCCGCCGCTCCCCCCCAGCAGGAGGGGTGTCTTAGCTCCGGGCTGCCCCCTTCTGGAGGACACACATTAGCCTGGGGCCAGAGTAGCCAGGCGGGTTGAGACACACTCCTGCAGGCAGTGGGTCACCCGATTCTGGTCCTTCTTTGTTCAGCCCCTCGTGTTCAGCCCAGTGGTAGGGATTTGCAGGACTTGGGGTGGGTTTAGGAAGGTGTCATGTGCCTGCAGTGATTGAAACCAGCGATCCACCGGAGGGGCTGACTGGTACCATTTGGGCAGTTTCTGTTGGATCTGCCCCACCGTGCTGTCACCGAGCATGCCTGGGCAGAGTTGAGAGGAAAACGCATCTCTCTGAGCACATCCTGCTCCTCCTACTGGCCTCCTGCCATCACCCAAACCACACTTCCTTGCCTTGTAGGGGGCTGAATTGTCAAAGCCCTACGTATCCCTGTTCACAAAAGCCTCCAAAAAGGTAAGGGACTTCAGTCCTAGTCCATAGACAGCTGCCCCGAAGCTCTCTCGGATCCTCAGCAATAAAGCACTTTATTTTCCAATTCTGTCTCACGAAAGATGCTATGTAGGGAGCCTTTGCTCACCACCCAGACCAAGCTCCTGAAGGTTACATTCTTAATTGCCCAGCCCACAGCTGGCTCCTTTCCTGAAACAGCTGGGCAGACCACTCCTGGGATGGAGGGGTGAGCCTGAACATCTGTAAAGGGCCCTCAAAACCGACAGGAGCTGACTGGACCTCAGGAGCACATTCACACTTAACCTTGGTCACACAGGTAAATTGCATTTGCTGCACAGGGAAGTGGTCTCCCAGTAATTAGCTGCGAAGGGATCCAAAGAGAGCTGCCTAAGACTACGCCTGTAAAGCAAGAGGCACACCTGTACGCTGCCTTCGCTGTACCCTTGCTAGGTATTCCATTGCTTCCCTTGACATTGGTGAAAGGAAGGGGAGGTGTCGAGACACACAGTGAAGGGAGGCCACCACCTGGAGAAGCTCAGAGAACCAGATGGTTCCACCTGCCATCATACCTACAGGTAATGTTCGTCTGGTGCTGGGCAACAAGTGCAACTGGAATATTAAATGGTCGGAGAAGGCAGGATTTCGGTCACCAGGCAAAAGCCAAGTTTACATTCTTTCTGCTGTCTCAATTCAGTGAGATTAACACAGGGTGTTGGGAGTGCAGTTCATTGGGACAGTGTTAGCCCCACATGGATGTGGCCCTGAGCTCCATCTCCAGCAGCACACATACACAAGATTAGCGCAGGCATGTTTCAGTTTTCTTTTTCTTGAGACTGGGGTCTCGCTGTGTTGCCCAGGCTGGCCCTGAAAGCCTGGGTTCAAGTGATCCTCACTTCAGCTTCCCAAGTAACTGGGACTACAGGCATGTCCACGGTACCTGGCTTGTTTTTTGTTTTTTTGTTTTTTGATTTTTTTGGGGTTTTTTTGGTACTGGGTATCGAACTCAAGACCTTGTGCTTTCCAGGCAGGCGCATGTGCCACTGAGCTAGATCCCCAGCCCTACCTGGCTTGTTTTAATTGTTGGCAGAATTTTTTTTTTTTTTAAATAACAAGTAGAGGGGCTGGGGATTTAGCTCAGCGGCACAGCGCCTGCCTGGCAAGCGCAATGTTGTGAGTTCGATTCCCAATACCGGGAAAAAAAACAGAAAAAAAAAAAAAAAAAAAAAAAACCCAAGTAGAGACACCCCAGAGTCTGTATTTACAGAACTACAAATCCTCCTTTTCTCTAATAGGATTTATCGTGGCTTATAACACTGTCTAAATCAAATTGATACCTAAAGGTTGTCTATTACCCAAACTGAATTTAAAATTATAATGTAAGCAGCACACCAAACTGCTGCCATGTTAGGTCACGCGGAAAGAAACTAAAGGGGGCAGAAAAGGAGTGTTAAAGGGGCTGCAGAGTAAGTGAGCTCAGAAACAGTGTTTACTCAAGCTGTGCAAAGGAGACAGGGAGCTGATGCAGGCAGCTACAGCTTCAGGAACAGCTGTGTAGGAGGAGCAGCACCAGTGGAGGAGGTCACTGAGCCCAGGACAGAGGACTTGGAGGGGCCAGTATCAGAGTCAGGAGGCTCATGAAGTCAGAGAGGGCCCCTTCTCCCAATTTGGCCCACAGTCAGTCACCTCACTGGCTTGACCAGCTGTTCTTCTCCCCAATACCAGGAGCTCATCCATGGCCCCAGCATCTAGAATGAACACCATCGCACCAGTGTTTCTACCTTAAGATGATTTTGCCAGCTTCCCCCTCATTTGCCTCATTAAGGGCCCTTGGCGAGGCAAAACCAGTCAAACTGAATCTTACCAAGATTTAAAGTCACCAAGGGTACAAACCCTGCCCAAGCCTGTTAACCCCTTTTCTCTTGAATGTTTCAGATCTTCTGCTCCATTAGTCACATTCGGGCCCCTGATATGTGTGCTGCTTTGCCTCCTCCATTAGTTCGCTTTTCTTTGCAGGTTGACACGTGTCACAAAATGTATCTCTGGTATCAGAATCACCAGTTATTAAGATACAGGTTCATGGGCTACATGACACACCTACTGAGTAGCAATCTCTAGGATTCTGCAGGTTTCCCCAGGGGGTTCTTAGGTGTGGAGCTGTTGGGCTGAGCCAGCATTTTGAAATCAGTTCTGGTTTAAGGAGAAAACACTTGGGGTTTGAAGTTCACAAGCCAGCAAGCATCATCTGCTAAGTGCCAGTAGGCACTGGTGCTCCTACACACATCATCTTACATGCTTCCACAAGGTACTTCTCACATCCATTTTATAGATAAGAAATTTGCCAAATTGGTTAGGAAGTAGAACATTTGTCATTCAAACCAAGGCCATGGTTTTATTTTTCGTAGCACCATTCTGTTTTTAGATGCAGATAGCTAACTGAAATAGGATCAGTGAGATGGTAGTGGTAGGAACTGAATAACCGTTTGGTGCTGGAGATGAGAGCTGTTACTGAGACAGGTAAACCAGTGATCTGGCTTTTACTAAGGTGCTGTAATCTCTTCACATTTTCCTCAAGTATTCTCTAACTGTTAACTTGCCAGTCAGGGCTCCAGTTTTTTGCTAAAGATCTCTGTTTTGACTTGACTCAAGTTATAGTCCAAGGTTTTCTTTTCTTTCTTTAATTGAAAGATGTCTTTTTAGACCCTGAGGCGAATGTAATGGCAAATCAGGTGTCAGTGAATTCAGTCCAGCACTCATCAAGTCAAGCAAAAGAGGGCATTTAGGGGTCTAGATGAACCAGATCGCAACTTGTATTTTCTGCTTTAACTACATTTTGGTCAAATCAAGATTAGCTTGCAAGTCAGCCACCTAATAAAGGCAGAAAGAGATGATGAAAATGGCTGCAGCTGCCAGAGGCAGCAGTCGGACTTAGAGGGCACTCACTCACACGGGAGTGCAGGAAGCCAGAGCACACTCTTCCGGGAGTGACTCTCCCTGTTCGGGTAGTTTCTTTTTCCTGCTGTGTGATAGCCTAAACTCCACTAGAATGCATGCCCCCAGCATTTGGCACACAGCCTGTGCTCAGTAAGTTGTTTAGTGGTACCAGGCATTGAAAACTACTTTAACAAAGGCATTTTTTTCCCCTGGTGCTGGGGTTTTGAACTCAGGACCTTGTACATACTAAGGGCTCCTATCACTGAGCTACATCCCACCTTTTTCAAAATTTTGAGACACATTTTCACTAAGTTGCCCAGGCTGACTCTCACTAGTGATCCTACAGCCTCACCCTCCCGAACAGCTAGGATTACAAAGTGTGCTACCTACCGTGCTCAGCTGCTTCTTTTTGGGCAGGGGGTGGTGGTGGTGCTGGTACTAAGATATCTGGAATCTTCTATCCAGGAAGGTTACCAAATACATTAAAAATGCAGTGTCATTATGGGGATGAACTTAACATGGCAGCAGTGTTTAAATTTGAGCCTGGGCTTTGCAGTTAGGGTCCATACTCCAAATCCCAATCCTGCACAATGTCAGCTGTTGGACCTGTGTTAAGAAATATAAGGCTTAGGGTCAGGGATATAGCTGTGGCATAGGCACCTGCCTGATAAGCACAAGGTCCTGAGTTTGATACCTGGTACCAAAAAAGGAAAAAGAAACGAGGCTTATCTACCGTGTAAGGAAATTCAAGGTTTACGTTTTTTTTGTTTTGGTACTGGGAATCGAACTCATGACCTCAGGCTTGCCAGGCAAGCGCTTATGCTGCTGAGCTACGTCCCCGGCCTGGTTTATGTTTTTGTGAAATAAATATGGTACCTACTTCACTGGGCTTTATGGGGATTAAATGAGCTGATGGGAGGAAACTGTTTCATGTCCAGTACAGAGGTGCTCCCACAGAAGGTGCCACAGGTTGGCAACGTCTGTTTTTCTGCATCTCAGACCAGCTCCTGGTGGTCATCTCTTTGCAAGGGGTAGGAGGCCATGGAGAGTGGAGAGGCCAGGACACCACCTTCACCAATGGTGGACCCCTTACTTGTGCTGGTAAAAGGCCGCTTTTTGCCAATTTGCAGGATTAGGCTGGACTGGCTCAAGGATGCCTGGTGGTGAGAAGTGGTTTCCTCTGTGCCTCCTCATTACCTACTGTCACCCAGGATAGAACCCAAGTCTTCAGCACCCTGTGCCTCTTTAAAATTCAAAACCTTCCGAGGAACTCAGTACCAGCCACTCAATGAACACAGGTCCCAGACGTGTATGTTTTTAAAATTACGTTTATTTAGCGTATGTACACATAAAAGAGAAATCACCCTCTGACCCCACCCAGCAGAAAACATGCACAAACCCAAGGTATATGTGGAGGGGAAGGCCCCAGCCCCAAGTTAGCAGTTGGGATGGTACAATCCTGTGAGTCACTAGCCCCAGTCAGGAGAAATGTTGGGCAGGCTGGAGCCCCCCACTGCCAGCCCTAAAACAAGCGTGCGCCATAGCCAAAGGTCTGTTTAATGCCCTCAAAGTAGTACCGCTGCCAGCCCTGCCGCGTCCGCTCTTCCTCAGGGGCAGGGATGCCCCGGCCTTCCATGCATAGCTCAGTCTCTCCATTCTTGTCAAGGAAGGTCAACGTGATGGTAGCAAAATGCCCTGTATGGGAAAGGCAGAGGGTGGGTGGGTGGTTCAGATCCAGGGTTTCCATGTAGGTTTACAATTAGGCAGAAAAGACATTCTGGGGACAATGTCAATGAGCAAACATGCTTACTTACCCTCTGGCCAAGATTTAAACCTCCACTTCATCACAATGTGTTTCTCAGGGACCTAAAATAATCAAAGAGCTCAGTCTGCAGTAGACTGCAACATACTCAATCCTAGCTAGGGTTGGCCATCTGCCTCCGTATGGTCTATCGTCTATGAAACTGTATTACTTGCAAGAGAACTCAAATGACAGCATTCTTTTGAAAAATAAAACAAAACATGGTTTATTAACCAAAGGAATTAAAAATCTTAAGTCACTCATCAGTCCAATCTGAGACTGGGGCTCACAGGTACTCACCAGATCAGTAAACTCCCCAGAGACGTTGCCATCTACCATGTGAAACTTCCCAC